GAGTGCTAAAATTACCAGCAATAATACATGGCCCAGGTGTCACTCAAATATAGGCACTTGATCTTGCAGGGTCAAAGCGGCCTCAAAGCGAATTATATACTGCCACTAGCGTGAAGTTCACGTGCTTAAGTTTAACTGTCAGACACACGTATTTGTTGCTGTCACACAGTGTTACATTATATGCGAGTTTGCACCTGATGTAAAAAATGACCTTGTTGTTGTCGTTACAGATTGCAGACCTGAAAGCTTCGTACTTCGATAGTCGAATGACATTGTGAAGGCGTGGTTCACAAATGACGATAATTGGAAACTGATTCATGAGTGCAAAGAACCGAAAATTTGATATGCGCGGTTTAAGGCCTCGGGCATTCCATTGAAAAATTGATGCTTCTTGCATTTGTTTATAAAAGGGCTGGAGGGCTGTGGTCTTGACAGAAGCGTATTTAAGGCGTTCAATATTTGAAAGGCGCTGAATAGTATTCAGGCGTACTCGAATGGTCTTTATGAGGGTCTTACTCACGGCTATTACTTCGTTATACTGACTGTCGCGACTTACTGGCTCTGAAGTAGCTTTGATCGTGCGATGTTGTGGCTCTACTGGTGAATTCATCTACAGTAGCGCTGGCCACACGTCAGGTTGGTCAATGATTCTTGCGTTTTTTTTTAGAATGCTTGTTGCTGGCACTTGTTGGTGCTATTGATGGTGTGCCTGATATAGAGTAGCTGTGTATCTCAGGCCTTGGCAGAAGGTGTCCTAGAAGTTCTGTGGCGAAAACGCCGTCGTCGCAATTTAGCAGCAGCCTGCGAGTAGGTGGAACAGTCTCTGGACATCTGCCTGATTTGATTTGATTGATATGTGGGGTTTAACGTCTTAAACCACCATATGGTTAGGAGAGACGCCGTAGCGGAGGGCTCAGGAAATTTCGACCACCTGGGGTTCTTTAACGTGCACCCATATCTGAGCACGCGGGCCTACAACGTTTCCGCCTCCATCGGAAATGCAGCCGCCACAGCCGGGATTTGAACCCGCAACCTGCGGGTCAGCAGCCGAGTACCTTAGCCACTAGACCACCGCAGTGGGCCCTGGACATCTGGCTCAGCCCTTTCATCTCCTCTTCCATATCTCAGCACTACTTCGAAGGCACATCGTGATGACCTTGGTAATTGCCGCACTTGCTATTTTCTGCACGGCAGACTTCCATGTTGTGCGACTCCGAGAATCGGGAGCACACAACAGAGTTTGTGCAAACAGCGCTCACGTGTGCCATTTTACAGCAGTTGCGACACTGAATAGGTGTCGGCACGAACGGCCGCACTTTGTGTCGAAATGACTAACCCTTACTTGAGATGGAAGACTGTCACCCTTGAAAACAAGTTTATGCATCGTGAGTTGCCGAGACAGCGGGTTTGCAAGATGGTAGTAGCTGGTTTTATTACAATTTCCGTCACTGGTTTCATTACATGGGAAAATCAATGTTGCTGATAGAAGGATCGACGTCGCATATAACACCTGCCCTGGAGCCCTTGCCATCTGGTATGTAAGAACGTATATGTATGTTCTCCAGCATATATACTTTGCTCAATACGTCCAGAGCAGTACGTTGCGCAACGTCTTCGCCAGAACGTTCTTGCGGCCATTGATTCTCACGTCTGTTATTTGTACCAGAACGAGCGTGATAAGAGACACAGACTTGGCTTGGCGAATAAGATGGTTCAGGACATCAGTGACATTCAGCGAGACAAACAAAAAGAGTGTAAACTGGTGGTTCTTGCATTATCTGGGTGCCCTTTCTTTGGGAAGGAGTTGTCATAAGTAGCCTCCTCTTCGCCTTACCACAAGCACAAAGTCACTTTCATTCGAACTCTCAACACTGGCCATAGAGTATATCAGCGTGTCCTCGCGGTCGGCGTCACATGGGTGGCCGAAGCGCTTTCTTGGAATAGCCACACAGACGACGCGGAAGATACGAGTTGAGGCCCAGGAGTTTTATACGTCCATTACCGCTGGCAGAAGAACGGCGTCTTCAACCAACACCAATGAAACAGGAAGAAAATAACAGAGACTGAAACCAGCGCTCCAAATATGAATCAGTTTGTCTTCCCATCGAATAATGCGAAATTCTCTGACTACACTCATACTGCTAACATAAAAGCCAAGACATTCAGTCTCTAGCTCCCTCTCTAGGAGTGCAATAAATTCATTGCTGTTTGAACTTTTTTAAAATTTAGATATACCAGCAAACCGTGCTCCCCAACCAACTTATTTCATCACCGCACTATGAGTCATCTCTTTGGTTATCGCTTTGAAGTCCTTCCATGTAGTAAAAATAGGAGCTTTCTAGCATGTTGGATGTATGCTCAGTGCTCATTTTACTCACTATATAGTGTTCAGTTTTTTTTGTGCTTTTTGTGCTATCTTCAGTAACGCTCTTGGCTTTCTCATCAATAATGAATGCTTTTTTTGCAACTGACTTGCGCAAGAAATAAATATTTTTATATGTCATTGTATACTAGGTTATATTCACCCACACTGTAGTGCTCGACTGCTTCCTGATGTTCGCGGAATCATATCCAGGTCGCGGCAGCCGCACTTTCGATGGACGCGAAAATTCTCAGTGTTCGTATACTTAGATTTAGGTGCAAGATAACGATTCATAGGGGTTCAAAATTTGGATAGATATGCGAGGTTTAATGTCCCAAAACCACCACATGATTATGAGAGACGCCGTAGTAGAAGTATCTGGAAATTTCGATCACCTGGCGTTCTTTATTGTGCACCCAAATCTGAGCACGTGGGCCTACAACATTTCCGCATTCGTCGGAAATGCTGTCGCCGCAGTCTGGATTTGATCCCACGACCTGGGGGTCCGTAGCCGAGTACCTCAGCCACTAGACCACTGCGGCAGGACAGGTTGTTGAGATTTATGACGCCGTTCATTACAGCATCCCCCACAATCATACGGTGGTTTTGGGTCGTTAGGTCAGATCAAATATTAGCAAAATTATGTTTCATAAAGCTTTAGTCATCATAGGTCAGTAAACTTCCAAGTCGACTCACTCGGACTCACTCATATTCATGCGGCGAGTCTGAGTGAGTCAAGGTTAGTAATATTTTGGTGAATTTTAGTCCAGATGAGTCAGGTTTAAGAAGTGACTCAGTTAAACAACTTTATTGACGATCCGGCATAAAGAAGGCAAGGGGTTCGAGAATCAAAACGAGATAATAGCGTGCTTAGTCGTCCCGAAGCAGCAACCTACTCGCGTCTAACCCAAGTGAGTTCGGTTCGGAAAAAATTGTTGACGGAGTCCGAGTGAGTACAACGCGCAAGATATATTTCTTGGGCGAGTGTGAATGAGTTACACTTTTATTTGCCGACCTAAAAGCATAATACTGTGGTCGTCTATTGGCCTAGTAGTTTGGTGATATGTTTATATGATATGACTGCTTCGTCGACTTTTAGTTTCAATTTAAGTTCTTTTTCATGTCTACCCCACAGCAACGCTAGTCTCCCTATTCACCTTGTAGCACGATCAAGAGTCATACAGGGAACGTAGGTATACTTAATGAACAAGTACTGCGGAGTTTGTGGGTGCATCAGCTGAATGCACATGTGAGATTTGGGAGCACGAGGTGGACTTTTCCACTTGCTGTTTACGCAGAGGGGTTATCCACGGCAGCAATTGGTACGCATTACAACAGTATCCGTAGCTAAGTACCGGCAAGATACAGCTGTTATATACCTTTCTCTTGAGGGATAGTAGCAATCTTTCTGTCATAATTTGAGAGTGCTCGCCAATTGTGCTCCACCCCATTCTTATTCTTCTAGTTACTTCAATCTCGTGGTTCGGCTCCGCGGTTATTGCCTGCCCTAAGTAGACATGGTCTTTTACAACTTGAAGTGCACTATTACCTATGTCGAAGCGCTGCTCCTTTCCGAGGTTGTTATAGATTACTTTCGTTTTCTGCAGATTCATTTTATGACCCACCTTTCTGCTCTCCTTGTCTAACTCCGTAATCATGAGTTGCAATTCGTCCCCTGAGTTACTCAGCAATGCAATGCCATCGGCGAAGCGCAGGTTACTAAGGTACTCTTCATTAATTCTTATCCCTAACTGTTCTCATCTTGGCTTTTGAAAACCTCCTGTAAGCACGCGGTAAACAGCATTGGGGAGATTGGCGGATCAGTACTTAGCTACTAAGCAGAAACCTGGAGACTTAGAAAGAGGGTTCAGCTTAAATTGAGGACGACGCAGCCAGCAATGGAAAGAAAAATGGTAGGTGTAACCTTAAGAGACAAGAAGAGAGCAGAGTGGATTAGGAAAGAAACGGGGGTTAAGGATATCATAGCTGAAACCAAGAAGAAGAAATGGACATGGGCCGGGCATGTAGCGCGTAGACAGGATAACCGCTGGTCGTTAAGCGTAACTAACTGGATTCCCAGAGAATGCAAGCGGGTTAGGGGGAGACAGAAGGTTAGGTGGCCCGATGAGATTAAGAAGTTTGCGGGTATAAATTGGCAGCAGGAAGCACAGGACTGGGTTAACTGGCGGAACATGGGAGAGGCCTTTGTCCTGCAGTAGACGTAGTCAGGCTGACGATGATGATGATGACAGCAGTATCACTGAAATACAAGCGCAAGAACTACTACACACATCTATCTCTAGGCTCATAATGAACGTAGTATTATCAGCCGTAGGGAGAAGGCATGATATTAGCGCGAGACAAAAAGGCCTCATTATATGCACTCTTCCTGTAATTTCGAGCTTTGTTCTTTTGTCAGAGATCATCCAATAGGGCAACAGTCTGTACCAACTGTTCACAGAATTCGAAATTATTCGCGCAGCCTATTAGGTTGTTAAAATGGTGTTCAGTGTCTAAAATTTAGATATAGAACGGACTTTCTCATTTCCGCCCTAACTGATTATATCTTCCTCCATAAGATCGCATGCAGTATATGTATACTAAAGGCATTGAATCTGCCATGGATATTACGGCTTACCTTTCTTGGATGTCAATCAACGTTTCTGTCGGTGGCTGAGACCGCATAACCGAAAGGGATATACCTTCGACACTTGCCTCCTCGTCATCAAAAGGAGCTTCTTTGCAAGCCTTATCACTGCAGAAAACCATACGTTTCAGCGACAAAGTGAAGACAGGATGAGTAGATATACTATGTGAAATATATACCAAAAGGTGTGCTTAAAAGCCGCTTGTTATAGTCTTATCATGACGAAAATACGTTCTCTCTAAAATCTTGCAGTAAAGTTGAATGAGAACCTATATTAGTCAGTTGATTAAGCGCAAATACTGGTACATAACTTTTAACCTGCATAAAGTGTTTACATGGTTTTATAATGTGCAGCATTCGAATATAGATGAACTGCGCCATCCTAATTGACGCAAGAACTGCAATAGTATATTTTGCAATTAGTCGCCAATAAGATCCACCATAGCTCGTTATATACTGAAAAATGTCTAACTACTCACTCTGCCTTTCAATTCATACGTGGAAAATGGCTAATTAGTCACCGGTAGTACATAACTACTGTTGGATAATTCTACGTGCAAAGTACACCAGCTGTATAGAAATAAGTGGAGCACTCGGCAATTTCACGCAAAAGAGGAAACAATTCTACATTTAAAAAGTAACTATTTGCTTTACCTGAAAGGAACTCTGGAGCAAATATATCCACCGTCTTTTTAGCACGTGAAATAGCATTGTTAGATATACTCGCGTCGGCACCGTCGCTTGAAAATACAACTCATTGCTATAATGATATCACCACACCACACTATTTCATTTGCTCTACTTCATCCTCACAATAAATATCATTGCTGGAAAGCGCTGCGTTAAATTGTTACTTCCTACGAAATCACAAGTATGCTTTTCCTCTATCGAGTCTGTGGGTGAATACTTAAAATGACTACTAACTGAATACGCACACTTCCCTTTTTGCAGCAAACATGGACAAATCATTGCAACAACGGAACGAAAAGTTGTAATGAGTATAGTTTATCGGACGATCAGATGTGAGAACAAGAATAGTGAAAGAAGATAAGCAAAAGTGCATGCATAAATTATGTTGTAACGTATACTCTTGACTACACTTTTGCAATTTGGATGTCCATCAGTGTCCTGTCCTGCGCACGCATTCGGGGAGCGCCGAAAGTATCGGACAGCACCAAGAACTTTTGTGGCGAAAGCGGCTATTGTAAAATTTGGTACACACATGTATTGCCGGTAAAAACTGCAGCTCTAACTGGGCAAGAAGGCAAATTAGGTGCCTCCTTTTAAGCCACTATTGAATTATTTAGGCAATCAAAATGTGAGGGATAGTTATTCCGAAGGCTGAAAACGACACTTCAGTCATCTTGTACAAGCTTTAGTGTAAACAAGTCGGCAAAAATAGTGAAATGTGATGACAATAAAATTTCCAAGAAATTAAAAGCAAATGCAAAAAAAAAGAAATGGAAATGAGCGCGTGGAGGCCGGACCCTGAATCCCCGCGTGACATTTCTCGCATTCTGTATCATAATAAAAGCAAATGCAGAAAAAAAATGAAAATGGACCTGTGGAGGCCAGACCCTGAATCCCCGCGTGATATTTCTTGCGTTCTATATCATACGAGTTGCAGCCATGTCTAACGGTGTTCGGGCATCTTCGCGCTAGACTTCTCAAAGAAAAATGAGGAGGATCTCCTCAATGCTGTTCTTTCAAAAGAAGTCTGTCCCGGAAGTACGACGTCGCACTTCGAATTTGCATAGTAAATAAGTTTAACTTGACAGTTCACTCACGGCCATAAATGCCACGTGTGGAACAAATAACGACGGAGTCATTTTGTGAAGCACTAAGTTGTAGCAAACTAAAAGGATTTCATGCAAGAAGCAAATCTTTCGCTAGCAAAATACTTGCCTATGGCTATAAAATTGGCGGTGATGTTCGACTAATGCAGGAAACTCTCGCGATGCAGTAGAGATATCGCTGCTTGATGTGCTTTCGGGGGTAGCATCATGGCTTGTATCGACATGTCTGCGTGCAGATGGCCCTGCATCGGTCGTGTCCATCGTCTGCATTTCTCGCACCATGGTGGTTGTCTCGGCTTCGGGAACATATAACCCTAAATAGCTGATATTGGCATCCAGAGATTCTCGCTCTGCAAAGGCCCAGTAGCATAAACCAATCAATGTCGTCCATTAGAAGGACCAAGTAATAATAATTTTGGGGGGTTTGACATCTCGACACAACCATATAATTCTCGGGGACATCGTGGTGGAGGCTTCGGAAATGCAGACCGCCTGGGGGTTCCTCATTGTGCACGTAAATCTAAGTGCGTGGGCCTCAAGCATTTTCGCTGCCATCGAAATTGCGGCAGCTGCAGCCGGGATGAAATTCCGCGACCTTCGGGTCAAAAGTCGAGAACCATAACCATGAGACCGCCATGACAAGTTAGAATACATTATTCACCATGAAAGAAAGTAGTTGGTAATCGATGTATACTGAGAGAATCTTTAGAGTTTTTTCTATATATAACCAATGGCTCATAATTATCAACAATACAATTATAAAACAACTTCAGGATCATCACTTGACATGTTGTGGATATCTTGTCTAATTTTATATTAGTTGTTATCAATTCACTAGTCATTAGAACAAATCTCGATGTTGAATATTTACTTCACAAAACAAACGTTTGTTAAACCATAACACACTTGTACCATGCATCTTTGCTTCAACTATCAAACAAATGAGCGGGGTATAACACATGTCTTTTTTTAAGGGCCAGACGGAACGCCAAGTTATTATTCAATGAAAACAATGTCAATAATAAATAAACATCTCAGGAGTGAACAAGTAATTGCTAATCACTTGAAAACTTATCCCAAATCGCTACTCTACACGAGTGGTCCGCATTACTAGAGAATCAAAAATATTTAGTTGGCCATTTACCTATTACTTGAGCTGCCAGTAGTATCTAGCATAGTGATTTGCTTTCCCTGAACAGTGAGACAGAAAATCATAAAAAAGCATTTGATCCGCTATACTGTTTTCTTATAAGCTAACTTTCAGAAAATAGAGGTTATGGAGAATTTCGCTGTCGTAGTCATTACTATGGTGCGCTGTTGTACGCTACACTGCGTTTAAAGCTTGATAACCAACAGTTTATAGGACTCGCGTCAGCTGTTTTCACAAACTGTGCTCCCGAGCCCGCTATGACAATCGCAGAGAAGCATGCTCTTTGTAGTTTTGCTTTGCCATCCCGAAACGTTTCAATTTGCACTGAAATTGAGCTAAACCGAACGCTTTTTGGTAAAATCAATCAAATAAACTGAAGAATCACTACCCCAATGTTCAGAAACCACAGAAAAATACACCCTTCCGAAACGTACTTACCTGAGGCAGAGGATGTTCCTGCGATTTTAGAGCTCCTGTTTCCATGACTCTTGCTGAAAAAAATAAATGTAAGAGTTTTAAATGATGCACCGTCGCATAACTATAAGGACTTACAGGTTTAACGTTGAGAATTCTTCCGCACTGATGTACTTCAGCATGTTGAAGCAGAAAAAGAATATCTGAAGAGAGAAGACAATTTTTGAAATACTTGTTACTGAATGGCATTGTAAAAACGTACATGGGTAATGCTATTTCTAGGACAGTTGCACAAACAAAGACTATTCTTAAATACGTAAGTGCCATCAATTCACATTTTGAGCGATATGGGGTCTGCGCTCTGGGGTCTGCCACCCAGAACAAATGAGATGTTCGTACACAAGTTAAATTGCAATTAATTCAGCCTTGTAACTACACATGCTCTTCGCATTTTTAATGGGTCTTTAACCTCCCCTCGAGAGTTTGTGAACACACACATCCTACGCAGAGCATACATTGTAAAAGTGTGTGAATAGTAACGTAAAGAATAATATCAAATATGGATCGATTAGTGATGACAACCAATGTAATAAGAGTGCAAAATGAATACTACTCAAATAGGTTGCGAATATTAACGCAAGAAGTTTCGTAACATTCCTGAGTAGTTCATTTGAAACAATTTGTAACAGAAATTACCAAAGAGATATAACGGTTAACTTTAACAAAAGGAAGATGTCACATCTATGCAAATTAAAGTAACCTAGTATAAGCAATTACAGTCGAAGGAATATTTTGTATTGGTTTTTTGAATTACCGTGGTTGCTTTGAAATTGTAAGTGGTACTTTGTGGCCACCTTTTAAATAAAACAGAGTCATACAAATCAAGCTAAATAGAGTGAACATACGAATGTCGTAAAAGTATGTCAGAATGAGAACGCTTTCCTTTGGTGACAACAGTTTTAGGTGAAGCGCCTTCATCTGTGATTAGCAGGGCATCGACCATACTGTCACTGGAAGGGCTACTTGGGTCTATATATTGCAATATTTAAAGAAAAGAAAGCGCTAATCTCACAATTTTTTATCCGGTAATCATTTGTTCTTTTTACGCCACTGCTTATTACTCTAAAATTGCTAAAATGTATTCGCTATTTCAAACATGAGCAATGTATTCGGCTAGTGAATCGAGTACGCGGCTATATCATTCGCTATTCGAGTTTTTAGAGTACTATCTCCTCATGATGCACTGCTATGAACATCCCGGCAAAATGTTGCAGGTGTGTGTGGCAAAGAGTTTAGAAGCGGATCCCGACGTTGCCCCTTGTTTAGGCACCCTCTCTTCACATAGACCTGTGCTCACTATTCGTAGTAGGTGGCGAATGTTGTTCGATGTCGAAGAGCCGATAACATGTTGGTGAACAGCGACATGAAATCAAGAGTGGTGTTAGGATATGTTGCATTTCTATCCTCGAGGTACACTAATGTTCCGATGTCGCGTTCCATAGCCTGTTAACATCATCACTGTGCACCACACTTGCACAGAATAATCACTAGGATAGAGAGTGATCACGGCTCCTCATGCACACTCAAGGTCATGACACACGCTGATGATCGCTTTCCTCTGTGCCATTGCTCTCTGAGGGCCTTTCTGCGCCTCGTGGAGAAAAGAGAAAGTGCTGAAAGTACGCGGCAAAACCTTGTAACGGCGCTCGTTCACCTGAGGCACAGCCTCGACGGAAAAAGGGAAGGGACAGGGGTCAATCACCTCTTACCCCACCTCGCTCGGTAAAACTGCCGGACTTTAACTAAAGTTTATTCATTCGTTCATTCATTCAAGACGGATGAAAAATATTGTTGCGGCAATTGGTTAGTGACACAATGAACTCGCATACCAATGTCATCCTACAATTACATCGAAATTTGATTCAGGATCATTTTAGGCTCAATGCTAACTTCTTACCTTCCATTCACGGTTGCAAAAATCGCCTTGTTGCGCCATGTGGGAAGTATATGCACTATGCGACGACAGAATTCAGTATTTACCCATCCAGGTGTTCATTAGAGCTACCATAGTTTAGCATTAAAAGTGCAGAGAATGTACCCAGACAAGCATTTGCGTCTTACGTTATGTGTACTTCGATGTAACAATATTACGCTAACAAGAATTACCGGCATCGCGAGACCATGCGGAAAGCAGACACTACGAGCTGCATCGTTCCTTCTTTCGTAGAGGGGCACATAAGTGCTTTTTACACGCACTCCAGTAAGCGAGTAAGTACGCAGTATTCTGCGCTTACCCCGAGATATACAAACGACAATCAACTCAGTTTGTCGTAAGTGGACTGGGGACGTCACTACTACGGGAATACTAATGCAATTTCAGCAACAACCTACAACGCCAGGATAACGCCGGCGTTTAAATGATATCGCGCTCTACTGTCAGTTACGAATATATTTGCAGCGCACAAATTCATCTCTACCCTGATAGTTTCTCGTAAAATGTTACGTGGTTTTCTACCGTACTACACTGACTTCAGGTGGAGTGAAAAATATTTTCGTGGACAAAGTAAACAAACCATGAATATTGGTTCGTCTTTAAATGCTCCCTATGCCACCTTTCAAGAATATCACTTTGCTCGAAGTGGTACTAACATTTTTGGGAGGTGGGTTTACACTGCCATACAAATTTAGTGTATGCATAGGCGGCTCTGAGCAAGTGCATGGCACAGAAACTGCTGGTAGGATAATTCAATCTTATATGAAGACCAATGTTCCTGTTCCGCACCTACGGACATCAAAACTAGCTACACATGAGGCTACCGTAAAAATTCTGGTGACTTCATGCAGAAGGCTGACTAGTTGTGATGACATCAGGCACTAAAGCTTCCCAAATAACCGCTTATTCCTTACCTATACATTCAAAATGGCTGCTTGTCACCAACGGAGTCACGGCTGTGAAGCGGCCATGCAGACGCCACAATATCTTGCCCTCATGCAGCGTTTTGCGTTATGGTACTGTATAGAAACCCAAACTGGCTTTCAAAAACACCCCTGCATTATTTTTAGAGTGCACTCACGTTTATCAGTGCGTTTTTTGAAGCTGCCGAGGGATTTGCTTTTTATTTTGAAAAAAAAAACGTGTCAATGCCCCTTCAAGCTGCAGATAGCTTGAGCCAAGTGCAGTTCAGCATAGATGTTTGCCAAAGAACTTTATTTTCAAGGTGCAAACTACTGTAACATCTGGACGGCGACTTAGTACGTGTGAAGTACGGTGACTTCGTACGTGTCCTAGAGACTTGGTTTGGTGACGCCCCATTCCGATCAGTATTCATCACGCGATTGAGGACGCCCCGCCAAGGAGAAGCCACGCTTCATGACCGCTCTGATACAGTCGAAACTGTCACGTAAAGCACTCGCAGGAGGCCCTGAAACTGCACTGGATCTTATTATTACCCAAACATTTATCAATGCCATATTCAACTGCAGTATGCAGACCTTCGTGTGCCTTGGTCGCTCTGCCAACTTTCGTGGAGCACAGGCGCTAACTCTTGAAGCTCAGGTTGTGGAGCCACCAATCAGTGCTTCACGCGGCCGTTCCACGCCAATTCAACAACCCTCACTATCCTACATCAGTACCGCGAAACACTTCCGACGAATTTCACCTGCTTGGTGGTGGTACAAAAGCCGTGACGCTGGCCACTCCACTCCTGGTAGTGAATTCAAAGAATACAGCGGTGAAAAGCTCGCATCTACATTTACCACTGGAAGCACCTAGCCTTAATCATCAAACTCAGCTGTTTTCTCTTGTGACATGGTCAGGCGTACAAAACGCAAAATAGCAACTGGGTAACCTGAGCTTATCTTCTGAAGCTCTTAGATATCGGCTCTAGTATGTCCTTTCTACAATATTTTCTCCCGCGTGACAACCTTCTACATCACCAGCAAAGCGTCGGTCTTTTAGTGCTACGTCTTGCTGATGGAGTTGTCGTGCTGCCACTTGGCAAGACCTTTGTGGTAATTACAGCGTTTGGAAATATGATGCGACTCCCGTTTGTGGTACTGCCCAACCTGGTTGCCTTTGTGATCTTTGGATGCAACTGCTGCTGTGCGATTAAGCTCAGTTTGAATTTCAAGGACAAGGACTACGTTGTGTAACTCAATCAACCCGCCCGCATCACTGCTGGCACCGTATCGGACTGAGTGAATATTCCTGCAGAGACTCTCGCACACTAGTGGCGCAAATGGTTGCACAAACGCAGCCCATAAATTACAGAGGCTCTGCAGGAGGTGCTAAGAAATGCTACGAGTAGCCGTCTCCTGATACAAAGCATTTTTCACCGTCTGCGACACCGAATTCATGCAGTGGTCCCAAAAAAGCTTTCAATGTTTGTCAGGCGACACGGCCTGTCTAGGTTTGGAACTGCAACCAGAAAGATAACGTCAACGTCAGAGTCCAATCCAACCATGATTGATTGATTGATAATTGGGGTTTAACGTCCCAAAAGCCACACTACGATTATGAGAAACGCCGTAGTGAAGGGCTCCGGAAATTTCGACCACCTGGGGTTCTTTAACATGCACCCAAATCTGAGCACAAGGGCCTACAACATTTCCGCCTTCATCGGAAATGTAGCCACCGCAGCTGGGATTCGATCGCGTGACCTGCGGGTGAGCAACCGAGTACCTTAGCCACTAGACCACACGGTGGGGCAGTCCGCTCCAACCGTGTTGGTGCAGGTCACCTTAGCGTCATCGGTCGCTGTCTGATGCTGTCTGGGTCCCTGTTCACTTAGATGGTAGAAATAACGTTGACGAAGACGTTCTAATCGAACCTTTCTTGTACTCAGGGCCATCGTCCAAGTTTGGCACGCCACGAGCTAATACGTTTTTTACCTCTTTTAAAAACCACTATGGTTTTTAAAAGAGGAGATGATGAAGTGTAACTAAGGCTATGGTGGCATGTTTGTGTTTAAAATATAGTACACTTTTCTCTTGCGTTTACCTTACGTGAAATACATTCACAATAGTTCCCTGCAACAGCAAAATAACCGCGCAAGGGGGCAACCTTTTCCGTCACTGAATGACACTTTTGCCTCAACAGGTGCGACCGCACTGCCGCCGAGAGATCCTAGGGGTTAGAGAGAGAGATAGACTATTAATTTCCGGCAGATTGCTGGGATGGGCTCCCACCTAGGGGCCAACGGAG